AGGCCGATGCGTACAGAAGAGTCAGCTAGGTCATTCAGCATCTGCTGTAGGTCCTGCAGCGAATCGCAAGTGAGAGATGTTTTCGCCATTGATACTGATGCCACGCCCTTTCCAGTGCAGCGTCTTGAACATGTCCTCAGTTGCATTTGTGAACAATTTCGGGGAAATAACGTCCCCTTGTCTTACTCCTCGATGCAACGGTATGGACCTTGTTTGCTGATTCTGTACTTGGGGACGGACATGGTGGCGGCTTCGTGGAGACATTTCGTCACTTGGATGTATCGCCAATCTACTTGGCAACGCTGCAGGGACTCCAGAATAGACCAGATGTCGATGGAGTCAAAGGCTTTCTCATAGTCCACGAATGCTAGTCACAGGGGCTGATTATATTCTTCGGTCTTCTGTATAATCTGCCGCACTGTGTGGATGTGGTCTATGGTGCCATATCCGCTCCGAAACCCAGCTTGCTCCGGTGGTTGGAATTCGTCGAGTCTTCGCGCTAGACGGTTCGTGATGACTCTCGAAAACAGCTTGTAGACGTTGGAAGGGATATGGGTCGATAGTTCTTCAACATGGTCTTGTCACCCTTGAAGAACAAGACCACCACACTCCTACCTATCATTCAAACAGGATAGCGTTGAAGAGCTTTTGGAGCAGCTCTGTTGTAACGCTATCCTCGCCAGGGGCTTTTCCATTTTTCAGCTGTCCAAGAGCCATCTTGATTTCGTCAATGCTAACTTCTGGTAGGCCTTCGGTGTAATGAGGTGTTAATGTGGCTCTGGAGTCCTAATTTTCGGGACCAGGACCAGAAAGATTTCATCAAAAAGAGCCCCTTCCGTTCGAGGAAGTTGACCAGCACTTGCCCCCTATGATTCCTGCTTCCAAATCCATGGGATCCTACTACCGATTTGCCGCAATTCTGTACTCCCACTTTAGCGTTGAAGTCAACAACGTTGTAATGAGCCCTCGATATGTCATCGTACATATCCTCCACCTTGTCGTCCGAGTGTGCCGAGGTCGGTGCGTACACTTGCACAACCTTGAGGCTATACCTCTCGGTGAGCTTGATAATGAGGTATGCTACCCTGTTCGACACACTGGAAATTGCCACAACGTTGTCAGAAAAGGACTTATTTACCCTTATTTTGGGATCGTTGGTCTCCCTCGCGGAAGTACATTAGGTGGCCTGACTCGAGGGTTATTAATAAATATGTTATATCTTAGAAAAAAAACGAGTTTCAAGTTTTTTGTACAAATCGGCAATTTCATACTTTAACCCCTAGTAATACAAATTTATCTATTCACTTATATAAAAGTATTGGTTGTTGTTTATAATTGTTCTACTATTGTTTATTTTTATCTTCCTACTATAAATAACTCTACTAAAATCTTTTACTTTCGCATGTTTACAAATTTACATATAATATACAACATCTTAGAAATCAAAGTTCTATGTCATTTCATTTAAATATTTTGTTCATTTTTTTTCACTGGCATCACTAACGTGTTTAATCTTTGGACCCTTCTTGGAGATCAAAGATTTTCTTGGATTATATTTGAAAAATTTGTATATTGAAAAAAGTAAAAACACAAGGATAAACATCGGCATGCCCTTTTAACTCCCAAAGATAACTTACAAAATGTCCGTTCTATATTTCTAAGGATAGTGCCAATATTATAAAAAAAATTGCATCATTTAAGTTGCCAAATTCGCGATTGAATTAATGCAATTTGAGCTAAAATACATAATTTTCAAACAAAGCGGTTCATTTCTGTATCTACTGAAAATAAACTCTGCCCGTGTTACGACCAAGGCCAAAGATTGATATATGGCCGAATCTACGGCATTTTTTTCGGCTTCCCCCACTTTCGGTTAATATTTCGGCTTCGGACAAATCAAGCCATAGTTTTGCTCAAAGGCGAATGGTTATGGGTCAGTAATTGACTAAATCAAAACGGAACAGTTTCGTTCGTGTATTTGGGATTATTTACTTCAGTGTGATGTGTTTATTTCTTCTTATATGGTTATGAAAAATATGAATTTATTGATAAAAATAGAAGTGAAACCAAAAAAACCTAAGTATTGTGCTACTTAACAATAATTTTTAAGTTATGTCATTTTAAACCCAGACGTTACTATGTTGTTGTTCGGATTATTTCTAAAAAAGGAAATTCGTACATTGGTTTTTATTATGTTAAACCAGTTTCAGATAATTTTAAATATTTTACTAAGTTATTACTTTAAACATAATTTAAAAATTGACCTAATTTAGAACGATTTTTTTTAGGTTATTAAAATTTCGGCTTCGACCTCGGCCTTAGATTTTAGCCAACAATCTTCGGTCGGACACTAATCACAGAATATTTTATTTACTAGAGGTAATAAAGCCAAGATGGCGAGATATTTGCAGTGCAGAGGTAAAGAAGAATGTAGCTTAAAAAATATTTATCGCATGTTATATAAACACATTACAAGCATTAACAGAAATTTAAGTATCATAAAGATTAAGGAAGAAGGGTACATCACCGCTCAGCGCTGCTGTTTACTACGACACAAGTCTTCTTACAAATCTAATATTCGGTATATTAGATTTGTAAGAAGACTTGTAAGAAGTAGAGGCAGAACTACATAACTGATGGAACATGATGGAAGAAAGTAAAAGAAAAACCATCTGTTAACTTCGACTTTACTGTCACTGATTGATCTTGGTTTATCAGGTTGCCGCCGTTATCGACAGATGATATTTTAGTTATGCGAGAAGCCCAAAATCGATCTAAGTGGCGTGCAATGGGAGAGGCCTATGTCCAGCAGTGAACTGCAATAGGCTGATGATGATATTATAGTAATAAAACGAAATTATATTAATCAATTTGAAAAGTAAATGATAAATTAATGGGTTCCATTCCCGCTCGGCTCAATCATTTGTAGGTATGTTATAAATATCTGTCCACACAATCGAACTCGTAACTACAAAAAAAAAAACAAACCCTGAGTGTCTCACATAACGCCGTCTGATCTCAGTCTGAGAAATATTTCTAAATACATACATATTATAGATAAATTACACTCAGACACAACAAATGATAGTGCTCATCACACGACTGCACGGATGGCGTAGTGGTTTAAGCGGTCACCTCGCTGCTTCTTACTACGCCGAGTGTTGTGGGTTCAAACCCCACATAGGACGACACTTTGTGAGCTCCACAAATTGTTGTTCTGAGTCTGGGTGTTCTTTGTGTCCGTTTCATGTATGTTTGTAAAGTCCCCCGCGCCACAGGAATGTATTCCTAATGAGGGATTGTCTTTTTTGAAAGAAAGAAAAAAGAAAAAAAGAAAAATTGTCTGAGTGGGAATCGAACTGACAACCGCAACGAAGATCGCTAGCTGCTAGACCAACAAACCAGTCAAGTACGTGTGTCTAAGTGCAATCAACTAGGTAACTAAATACTAAGTATTATTTATAATTACAATTGACATTACAACAACAAAAATAAACCAAGTTTTTTTTAAATATTATTTAGTTCTGCCCCTCGATCAGTTATTTATGGACACAATAAAATATCACAAGACGTTTAAGATGCAATTATTATTTATAATTATTACAATGATTTATTAAATTTTCATGGAAGCCCGACTAGCATAATGACAATCGCAACAGGTCGCTTTGCTCCTTGACAATGGGTATACATCGTACACTTTGAATGATCAGCAGAATATTTTTTAAGTATTAAAACTATATTAAATTAACTTGACTATTTTTTTAGTTTAAGACCCAGTTGCCGTACTGAATATACAATTGTAACAAATACCGAAGCAATATAAAATTAGTAATTTTTTTTAATACACTAATGTTGATGCCCGTAAGTTTTGGGGGAAGAAATGTAAAATAATGTCAGTTAAACTGTAACAGTGAATAAGCCACGAGCATCATTCTGCTAAAAAGGTGGTCAAGTCAGGACTGGTCATTCCAGACAGCTATTTTCCAAATATATAAGGGATTGAATATGCTACATTGTATGTCCATGTGGTGACGGATTGTCCCCCCTATTCATCTCGTGGGTGTCGTAAGAGTCGACTAAGGGAGCAAACTACGCAGGACAACATCACTGCAAAGAGAAGGGAAACTTAACACAAACTCTATCCCAACCATTTTGAGTTTGGTTTTGCTTTTGAGTTTAGTATTGATTTTGAGTTTAGTGTTGCCTTTGATTTTAGTATTGCTTTTCAGTTTAGTATTGATTTTGAGTTTAGTATTGATTTTGAGTTTAGTATTGATTTTGAGTTTACTATTGATTTTGAGTTTAGTATTGATTTTGAGTTTAGTATTGATTTTGAGTTTAGTATTGATTTTGAGTTTATTATTAATTTTTGAAAGCACCGAGTGTTAAGAACAAAACTGACCGTGCGTAAATCTACATGGCCAACACAGTATTAGCAACTCACTTGCTTATACATTCGTAACCTGTAAAATGAACCATGTGTTGTGTAGCCATCCAGACGAGACAGTAGAAATAACTCAATATTCTGTTAGAAAAATATTTTAGTCTTCATGTGAATTGGTTGGTTGAAGTTTGATTCAAATTTCGCTATTCTGTAAACTAATCATTTTCAACTTAGACACTTGTTAAAACTTTACCGACGATGAGGTAATTTAATTTATAATTAAGTTTGCTACTTATTAATATTACTATTCTACATATAAATATTTGTTTATCAACAAAAATCAAGGAATTCTCACAAATACTTTCCAGTTCTAGTAATCGGTTGGTATACTTAAAACATCATAATATATTAATCTTCGTCGATATTTTTGGGCATAATAGCAACAATTACACTTAAGAAGGATTGACATTAACACTTCACAGATAACCAGCGGAGGTACTTTAAGAAATCAATACTATTGATCGATAAAAAGTATCGATACAATATCGACTGGCCCGCATCATTAGCAGAAACTAAAAGCCGGTCCCATTACACTAGGTTTGATTCAGTATCACAGCTAGACAGCAGGTATATTATACATGGCTGTAAGTCTCTCTAGGAAGCCGTTCTCGATGACTTCCCCCTCAACATCGGGTCTAACGTCCCTCTCCAGGTGCCTTACATCCCCCAGGACCACGTGGCCCGGCACTATGGCGCCGTTGAACTCTTTATTCTTCTCTATATGCGTGTACACCTGCATTTTCCCGTCGGTATTTTCTCTGAAATCTGTTTTATCGATTTCAACATTATCGATTAACACATTATTTCTGTACATCGGCCTCAGTATCGCAAAGTCCCTGTCTTCGGAGAGGTTCTTGTATCCTATAACGTTTTCTAAATCGTCTTTTATATAACCACTTTCGTTATACACTTCTTTGAACTTAGTGTAAGGAGGTTCCTGCCGTGTGTCGAACACTTCGACATTATTCGTGTAGTTGGTGTCCAGTTGGTCTATGGTGACGTTGGGAGCTCCTTTCTTTGGTGTTTGATTCTTCTTGATGGGTTTTGGTGTCTTCTTCGCGTTAGCTTTGTTAGTGTTAGGAGTACTCATTGGCATTTTAGTTGTGGACGCCACGGCGATTTTCTTGGGTGCTTTATTCTCTAATTTAACTGGTTGCTTTTCTTCTGGTTTATCATATTGTTTTTTGTTGTCTTTCACGTCTTTGATTTTGGTTTTTTGCTCGTTGAGTCTGTTGCGTACTTTGTCGTGGATGAGCATGTGTCTGCGGAGGTCCGCGGCTACTCTGAAGCATTTTTCGCATTGCGGACATTTGTGCGGTCTATCGCCTAGAATAAAAAATGTATTAATTAGCTGGCAATTTGACAAATATCAGACTATTTTTTAAATCATATATCGTTATTTTATAAAATTGCTCGTTCTAAACTTTTACTAATGAATTATTTGACATTGATATTGTCAAAAATAAGTATACAATTTAAAATTCTAGATCAACAAACAAATTCTCCGCAAACCGGTTTCAAACATATAAACTTATAAAAATTGTACAACAGATAATGCTGTATCTCTTTTAAATGTAAAATAGTAATTTTTTTTTGTAAATTACAGTAGTTTGCTGAGCGTTGAGATTTAACCTCGTTATAATTATAGTCAAATATTATTTAATAGTATTATTAGTAGTTATTATTTAGTAGGCCAAAACCTCCTTTCTAAGGAGAGGCTTAGGTCCAGCAGTGGACTATTAAAGGCTGTTGATGATGATGATGATGATGATTATTTAATAACTGTAAATAATATTAGTAATCATCCGTGTGGTGACGGATTAAGAATACGGAATGTCAACACCCCTATTCATCCCGTGGGTGTCGTAAGTGCCGACTAAGGGAATAAACTACGCAGGACAACAGCACTGCAAAAAGAAGGAAAACTTGAAACAAACCCTATACCAATCCGTCTGGCCAGCGTGGTATAGTAGGCCAAAACCTCCTTTCTAAGGCCTACGCCCTGCAGTGGACTATTAAAGGCTGTTGATGATGATGATAAATATTCCTTATTGGCTGAATTAGATATCTAAAAAAAATTGAGGTATATAAATCTAGATTTTTAGAAACTTAACAAACTATGAGACTGTAAAAAACCATGTGATGATATAAAAAGTATACTGACTGGTATGCGTCCTCATGTGCGTGAGGCGGTAGGAGGAGGCGCGGAAGGTCTTGTTGCAGAACTCGCACTTGTAGTTCCTCTCGCCCGTGTGGATGCGCCGGTGCACGTTCAGCGAGTACTTGCGCGCGAACTCCTTGCCGCAGAACTCGCATTTGAACATTTTCTGAGACAACACAACAGAATTAATTTAATAAATATTTATAATATGTTATAAAAAGGGACATATTTAGCTTGGTATATGAATAACAGGACCGGGTGGCATAGTGGTTGACTGCTATTCCAAAGGTCACGGGTTCGATTCCCGTTCAAGTCAAACATTTGTGTGCATGAACATTTAATGTTTGATTTGGTCTGGGTGTTTCTATGTATAATAAGTATGTATTTACAAAAAAAAGGTATATATGTATTTATATCAGTTGTCTATAGTCCATCAACGTCGTGCGCGACCGTCCTGCGGGGTGACAGACGGTGGCGGGGACGAGGTACTCAAGATGTCAGCGGGTAGCGGGTGGTGTAGCGGGGAAGGGAAACGCTTCTCTTCGTGTGTAGCCGTGTGCTAGAATGACGCGCTACCTCGCCCCCGCCACTGTCTGTCACCCCGCGGGACGGTCGCGCATGAGATTGCCGGGTTATAGTACACATAGTACAAGCTCCGCTTAGTTTGGGACTAGATGGCGTTGTGTGAATGTGGTAGAATATTATTATTATTACAATATAGTAAGAGCTAGTGATGTGCCGGATATCCGTATCCGTATCCGTATTAGCAGATATCCAAGGGAGAAGAGAGATCCGTAACCGTATCCGTATCCGTGACTTTTTTGGCGGATCTTTCAATACATATTACATAGATGAAATTCTATATAGGTGATTTTGTATTCACTGTAAAACTCTTAGGTATGTGTTTGTAACACTATAAACAGCAACTTTTTTTCTGGCCAACGTCAAAATGAAAAAAAATTGGTCTTCCATTCAAATGACCAATCAAATGTTGTTAGTTTGTATGGAGAAACAATTCTTTTTCTTTCGTTTTCGGTGTTAGTCCAGAAGAAAAGTTGTTGTTTATAATGTTACTAATATGCACTTCAGAGGTTTTCAGTAAATTTAAAATAACCCTGAATAATGGTTATTAGGTAGCTATGAAAAACTATTGAATTCTGTTCAGATTACTTTTTATTTCTTAAAACAAATATTTGGCACCTTTGTATTGCAATCATTTATCGTACTATACTAAATCAACTAGGCAGGTCGTAGGTACTGAAAGAGCTATTTTTATAATCAATCAAACATCTCTGTATTAGCTTATTAAAATAATGAAATATTTAAATATCAACGGCAAAGCGTCAAGTGGCGACAACTATCAAGGTCACGGGCTTCGATTGAGTAAGAAACTTAAGATCCGTATCCGTATCCGTATCCGCAGATCTTGACACCAAATATCCGTATTCGGATCCGTATCCGCGGATATACTTTGTTAACGATCCGGCACATCACTAGTAAGAGCCGATTAAGATAGCAAACTACGCAGGAGAGCAGCACTGCAAAAAGAAGGAAAACTTGACAGAAACCCTATACCAACCCGTCTGGCCAGCGTGGTATAGTATGCCAAAACCTCCTTATTCAGGAGATGTCTACGTCTGAGCAGTGGACTATTAAAGGCTGCTACTGATGATGATTTTGATAACATTTGAGAAATTTAATTCTTTTTTAATAATATACACTTGAAAGAATAATCGATAAAGCTATTGAATTAAGAGATGACAAATGTTCAGAATATTAATAAAATAATAAATAATCACATCTCAGAGGACTGATTGATCCAAAACCACTATGGTAACCAAACAGTTATACTTCCCCGCACCCCAGGATAATGTGGGCTGTCACTCGCATTAATGGTGAACAAGCATCAGTCTAGGCCCATGATGCTTCCTGCAAGTATCTTAATGTCGGAATTGATAAGACTGAGCATCCTACAGATGTTAAGTGCTACGAGTATTCAATGGTTAACTTACCTGGTTGGAATGTATGGAGACTTTGTGGTACTTGAGGTCGCTCCACTGTCGGAAGTCTCGCCCGCACACGTCGCACTTGTACGGCCGGTCGCCGTTGTGCACGCGCTTGTGGATCTGCCACAGAACATGATGATAAAAATTATTATGCGAATTTCACTGGGAAGTTAAATATACCCAGCGATAATCGCACAATAATGACAAATTTAACTACATCATTCATCATAATCTGGAAAAGCAGTCAGGGCAAAATAGCAAACTACGCAGGACAATGTGGATGGCGTAGTGGTTCAAGCGGTCGCCACGCCGCTTCCTACAACGCCGAGTGTTGTGGGTTCAAACCCCACATGGGACGACACTTTGTGTGATCCACAAATTGTTGTTCTGTGTCTGGGTGTTCTTTGTGTTCGTTTCATGTCTGTTTGTAAAGTCCCCCGCTACACAGGATATATTCCTAATGCGGGAGTTGTGTTTTTTTAAATTAAAAACATTACCGCACTGATTAATAATATACATATGCAATATAAGCTGAAATTTTTATGTTCTGTACATTTCACTACTTGATCGATATTCCATGAAATTATAAAGAGATTACAAGTGATCAGTAATATAGGAAAAAAAAGGATTTCTTTTTTTATCGTGTGGAAACCCCCACGGGTACCACCTTACCGGGGATCGCTGTGAATTGGTATGTCGGAATTGAACCCTCTAAAACCACACGGTGTTCCGTCAGTAATAAATCTACTGCAAGGGACTCGGGTACACCCTAGGACCCCCTGCGGACCTTGGCCGCCATAGGCAGCTACACCATTGAGTACAGAGGGCCTTGCCCGCCTTCCGGTTTAGAGAGGCGCGCGTAGAACTAGACACGGTTTCGGGTCTGCTTTTGCTAAGGCAACAGACAGCATTACCGTTGCCTCCAGGCCAGCGCCCGTGAAAGAGAATATAGGTATAATATCATCCAAAAACAAATAATTTTACCGAGGCATTAATTAGTTCAATGGCAAAATCAACATCAACGCAACATTTAATTGCGAATGGCATCGAAAAGATGAAGCCACTGTCTCAGCCAAACAAACACTTAGGAATGTTAGAAAGACCACAGAAGTTGTATTACAACAGTTCTTAATGCGTTCTAATAATGTCATTTTGTTTATTAACAGCTTTTTTTATAAATTACCAATTTTTTTTTCCTGAGCGGAAATCCCCTCGGATATCACCCACCGGGGTGATTATGTCGGACTCGAACCGACCAAAAACCGCACGCCGTCTAGGGTACCAGTAGCCGGGGAACCAGGTGTACCCTAGAAAGGAAGTCCCTGGTACCCCGACGTACCTTGGGCCATCCACAGCGTGTAGATGGCCCCCTATTGTGTGGGAACCCCCATGTTCCCTTTATAAATTACTAACTGGCTGTATTGTTTTAAGTATCTGGCTCGAAGGACCAAAAAATGACATTTAAAAAACGCAAAAGTTAAACACGGTACTGATGATTGAGGTAGATTTTTTGTTTAACAATTGTCCCAGAAAGTGCTACAGAAGACGAAATGTAGTAAAACATAATTGCATGTTTTCAACATTTTACTTCCCTCTGTAAATAATTCATCGTTTTTATCGCTGTGGCCAATTGCATAATTTTTAAATACCTATTATATTTTATAAGCTAAGGGTGAATTATATTTTATACAATAAAAAAATAGATAAATACTGATTTTGGATATTATACTGACGTCTAGCTTACACAAAGAAGTCTATACTTTTTTCGCAAGTGAATGACTCAATATTGTTTTTTATTGATGAAATACAGCTTTAGGTGCATACCTTAAGTGCAGTGACAGTGTAGAACCCTTTCCCGCACTCCCGACACACGTGCTGCTTGCCGCTGTGGGACAGCAAGTGGTAGAGCAGACTGTTCCTATGGTGGAACACCTTCCCACACTGAGGACACTCGAACCTCTTCAAAGGTTTTTTCTTATTGTCCACCAAACTCTCTTTGGAATTCGAATCCTCATTGGAGGGCGTTTCAGGAGTTATTTCAGAAGATTCCGTCATAATGTTTTCAGTAAAGTTTCCATTTTCAGTAGCGATGTTGTCATTTTCAAGAATACGCTGAAGGACTTCCTCTGCAATTGAATTACATTACTAAGTTATGTGAATGTGATATTTTTTGTTAAAAATCTAAGTGGGTCGTCCAAGGTAAACTTGGCGGAAAATAGTGGTGGATGAGGAACAAATCGGTAAGTCAAGAAATCAAGCACGAAGCTAGGAACCGATCGAAACGGGGATTCGCTGTGGACGCCCTTTGTCCCAATCAGAGGATGTAGGAAAAGAAACTTTTTAATAATATAAGGGGCAAACGGCTAGACGGGATAGTATATGGTAAGGTAATACTGCTGCTCATGGGCATTTGCAGGTTAAGAGATACGAGTGCTTTGTCATTTTTCAGAGCTTTAAATGAAAATTTGCGTCACACTGGGTTTTTGGGATTCCCGTTAAGCCGGCCCGTATGTGCTGAGGTGTGGTTTTTCCAGGGTAAAAGTGTTTCTGTATTGTCTGTATGCTGGTAGTTCCTTGCAGATTCATCCATGTCTTTAGTTACAGCGTATCAAACTCAACTCAAACTCTCTTTATTTCATAAAATTTTCATTTTTTTTTAAATCGTTTTTTATGTACACTTTAAAGTCATAGATCGACACACACAAAAGCAACAATCTCTGTTTTGTCAAATAGTAAGCAAATAAATTTAACAAAAATCAAAACCATACAAAATCTATGATATGCCTGTGCCTATCTACAACCGCCCGTTTCCAAGGGGTCGAGCCTTATGAGAAGAAAGGGCAAAATATAACTTAGGTTATACAGAGAGTTTCATTTCCTTTCCCAAATACTTAAGCCACATATTCTGCCCTTAATTTCTAGGCGATTTGCAAAATATGAACAAAATATATCCAGTAGTTTAGCCACAGGACTCATTTTTGTGTTTCGTATTTTACAACACCATATGTTTACGCAAAGCTAAAGTACTAAGTGTCAATGACCATCCCGCTGTCGCTATACAAACGTTACCGCACAAGTTACGAAATAATAATTAATAAAAATTAAAAAATAAGAATTTCTTTAAAGTAAAATCAAACATATTGCATACGGAAGATAATACTGTGTCTGACAACAAGGTTCGTACACTTGTTGGTCAGTGTCGGCGAAAATAAATTAGAAGCATGTAATTGGTTACTGTGTCATCGGGATCATCGCTACCAACCTATTAGCAGTATGCATCGTAATTGCGCGCTTTTTTTTACATATTGATTATAAACAAAATATGCTAATAAATAAGTATTTTAATATTATTAGGCTGCGTAAATATTGTTTATATTAAATGTTTTATTTACAGTACGTAATGATTGCTACAGGTAAACTCATTATAATAATGTTTTTCGAGCTTTGACAATTGGCAGCATTGATTTAATTATTTAATATTCGATGACTTCCGGGTTCTAGAAAGTAGAGGGTCAGTTGGTCAGTTGGTGCCGGTGCAAGATTTTGTGTTGTTTTGCAATGAGTCCCGCTGATTTTATTTTGAAAGTATCAATATTAGTTTTGTTGTGGAGTGTGTGTGTGTATGTGTGAAATTAGGTTTCTTACTAGTGTTTTAATTATATTGATTTATCGATATTAACATTCATAATGCCGCGAGTGACCTTTACAGCCGCGGAGTATACTGACATGGTCCTAATTTACGGGAAATGCCATCAAAACGCTTTTTTAGCTTAAAGTGTTTGTCCTACAGACAGTCGAACTTTTGTTGTGGTTGTCAGGAAGCGTTTTAATCACATTTTTGGTGAACAGTGGATAGGACGCTATGGGCCTACACGATGGCTACCTAGATCACCAGATCTCACGCCTTTAGACTTTTTTTTGTAGGGATGTGTTAAAAATGAAGTGTATGCAACAGACGCCACTTTAATAGAAGGCCTAAGATGGAGGATAATTAGTGCATTTGATAAAATAAGAGCTTTAGCTTTTAGAATGACAACTTGTGTGCTAAAATACTTAAAAACATGTGTATTCGATGCATTGATGTGAATTAAACACATTGAAAACCTAAAAAATTAAATTAGATTTACATTAATTTGATATACTATTGCATGTATGATGTACTAAATTGGTGTACAATAAAGTTTATTCTATTCTATTTAATTAGATAAAATTTTAAGGAAAGATTGATTTAGTGAATAAAACCAGTTGCGAGCGGTATTCATATTTTAGTAAATTGATAAAGTGATTTTAAATAAAAAGCAAGTGAAGTAACTGATTAGTGATAAGAATGTAATATTCGGCAAATCGACGCGGCGCCCGCGCCGTCGCGTCGCAGCGTCGCTAGGCTCGTTTCGCAGTTGGCGCCATTTTTGCATCGCTGCCGTCGCGGCGTCTACTGGTGAGTGACTCGCGTGATCAATTGTGCTCCAATTTGACAATATTTTATTGTATTTATTTTGTTCTAAATTTTCATTTCTGTATTTTATAAAAAAAAAATCTTTTTTTCATTTTAACCTACTTATATTGAACTGTGTAATCCACCATTCAAAGGGTTGTTATAACTCTGGGGCCACGTTGTATATCGTAAATTGAAATAGTCTATAACCACTTTAACAATCGATCTACTAAAGGCAAACGATTTTTTTTTTTATTATTTGACAAGTACTTAGCGGATAGGTCTCATTAATAATAGTCATCGTAGAGGCGTTTAAGTAAGTGCAGTGCAGTGCAGTAGTGCAGTGCAGTAGCGCGGCCGTACCTTTGAGCACCTTGAGGTGCGCGTCGTGCGGCCGCTCGCGCCCCGCGCACGCGCCGCAGCACGACGCGCCGCACGACCCGCGCGAGTACCTGCGGGGGGGGGTTAGTTCAGCCTTTCATACTGTTAATCATTCATTTCATTTTAAAAAAGTATTATTATCACGGTGTTTCAAGATATTTGTATTTATTCAAATGTTACTTACGCGTAAGAACACAATATTTTAAAACAAAAATATTAGAAACCGAAGAAGTAACTAAATATGATAGTTCTAATACTACAGGGGTCCCTCAAGGATCATAACTAGGTCTCATCTTTAGTGATTTTTTTAATAATCAAAATTTTCATTTATTTACACGACGATCGATCATTTTATCATTTATTTTACCAAAAATATAATAAACCTATCTTAACCGACCAAGACCTCGTATGTTCTTGATGCGCCTGCCCGTTCTCTACCGTGAGGTGTGGCAGTAAGGTGTGTTCGTAATGTTGTGCATCCTCATCCACCGCCACGTGGATGCCTTCCATCAGGTCCTCGGGTTCACTGAACTCGCCCATGTCTTCCAGCTGTAAGTTATACTACTCGATTTATTGATACAGTTGGCTAAAAATCTTTTTGAAAAGATTGTTTTACATTTGGATTTTAACTTGTATATGACACTATGAATACTGTTACTACATTCAGATAATGGTATCGATAAAGTGAAAAGCTTTTTAAGTGACTTAAAAAAATGAGGATATTCTTTAGAATGTTTTGTTACCTCAGAACTACTTCATTTATAAACCGACTTGGAAATTTATTATTAGAATAATATACACGGTATAAGGGACGTTGTAACGAATACTGAAATAGTGTATTTAGAATATCATCACACACACAAATCATTGGAATTTTCTGACGGAAAATTAAACTTTTTATGCAATTAGCCGTCAAAGCTCATTCGCTAAGATCATTCTCCGTAGGTATCGCACTAAAGTAATAACTACATGTGTATTCCGTGCAAACAGTCTACACACACTAACATAAAATGGCGGCCGGGGTGGAGGCCCCGCGCCCCTCGGCTGTTTGCATTGCAGTTGCAGTTTTTTGTTATTAATTAAATTATTTTCGGTAAAATGTTCTGTCTACTCATTGTGATATCATTTTTAATAAAAAAAATGTAAAATTAAAAAAAAAAAGAATTAGGTGGCAGAAAATTCCAATGATTTCCGACTGAAAATCATGGTCTGAAGACACTATTTCAGTATTCGGTACCATGTCCCTTACACCTTGTATTTCCCAAATAGACACATTTCAATTTGGAAAAAAATAATGAGTATAAAGTTTATTACAATTCATCATGAATTGAAGTAGGCACATTAAAGTAAGAAATTAAGCAACGACAATTGCTTACTCGGCCGTTTCGCATCATAACTAACGAACGCAAACTTTCAAACGTTCCAAATGTTATAAATAAATACCTTTGCAGAGTGTACTTCCTTCATATGCGCCTCACATTGCTTCTGTTTTCTGAACGACTTACTGCACTTCACACAATTGTACAACTCCAACTTATCAAACGGCTCATACAAATCTCCCTTTTCTACTTCTGAGACTACCGTCGGCACCTTGTCCATACTTGCCATGGAATATTGGACCTTATTTGTTGTGTAGCTAAGGGTTTTATCACTTGTTGTGTATAGTACATGTTTGTCTATAGATTGCGTCATTGTCTTTGGCACGGAGTTTTCTAGAGACAGTTCGACTATCGAATCAGGAAGAATCGCGACGTTGTCCACTATGCAAGAGTTTGTTATCTGAAATGTGTGTTTAGATTACCAATTGGTCAACATGGCTTCACTCATTCATAAATTCATACATATTTTGAATGGTTTAAAACGCCTCGGATTTTGTCAACATATATCTATACAAATAAATAAAATCCAGTTTAAATATTTTTTGCCTGTCTGTCTGTTTGTTCCGGGTAATCTCCAAAACGGATGGACAAATTTTCATAATATTTTACTACCAGGTAGCTCTCTATATAAGGAGTAACTTTGACTATTTTTCCTCTCAGGAAAACCCTACAAAATTCTGACCTGTCCGGGAATCGAACCCGAGGCCTCACGGACAGCAGTCGCGTACCGTACTACCCCACTAAAGCACCGCTTTTCCAATGCCACGCGAACGAAGCCGCGGGTACCAGCTAGTTTGATTATATATATACCAGATATTGCCCACTCACGTGGTGGCTGTCTTTTTGCTATAAACTGAACACTTTTTAATTAGAATGGAAAATAAGAAGTATATTTAAAGTAAAAGAAAAGAAGACGACGGTAGGAAACGGATATCGCTTATTCAATTAATTATGCTTATTGAAAAAAAATATGAATGAAGGTCAAGGTCGCCTACACGGCGGATCCGGGGAAGTCCCGTTTTTTAATAATAAAATTTAAAATTATGAGCAATTCCAATTATGAGGAATTATACTTCTTTCTCGTATTTCACATGGCAATGGCAATTAATACATCTGATTTTATTTTAAAAACTTTGCGTCATGACTTTACTAGTCACATTCCACAGAAAAAAAAACTAACCTTATCTATGCCCAGATCTGAAACCGGGTTCTCAATGATGATAGTGTTGTGTGGCTCATAGTGATGTTTGAGATGCTGGAAGAATTTAAGCTGATCCTCTCCATAGAACTCTCCACAGAGCTGACATATGAAAATTGGACGAACCTGAAAACAAGGCAGAACTGGGTCAGTTAATTAGTACATTAATTTTGATTAACTACACGTTAACAGGGCCGTGGCTCCCTTCTCGTTCCGTTGTTGTATTAAATTAAACTTGGTATTTCTTGACGGATTAAGAATACAAATTGTCACCACCCCAATTCATCCCGTGGGTGTCGTAAAAGCCGACTAAGGGAGCAAACTAAGCAGGACAACAGCACTGCAAAGAGAAGGAAAACTTGAAACAAACCCTATAAAACCCGTCTGGCCAGCGTGGTATAGTAGGCCAAAACCTCCTTTCTAAGGAGAGGCCTATGTCCAGCAGTGGACTAGTATAGGCTGTTGATGATGATGATGATGATTGATGATTTCTTATGACGAATCTTTAAACCACATATTCTGCACTTTATTGCTGGACGATTTGCAAAATATGAACAAAAAATATTCAGTAGTTTAGAAACAGGACAATTTTTTTGCTGTCGTAATTTGCAACATCATGTGTAAATGCAGTTATAATACATCGACCTTAGGCGGCGATCAGCTGTATACGCGGTGCGGTAATCACACGTTGCCGCTTATACTACACTCGAAATTTTAATTAGTTCATCCAGTAAGTATACTCAGTCAGGCCTTGGCCACCGCGTATCGCTGAGTATTATGCTGTTCTGTGTAGATGCGCTCACGACAAATTATCGTAATATTAATATTGTTGTTGTTCGTGAGATATCTGTTTCAAAAGTTTTGTTGTGTTTATAATTGTTTAGTCTTATTTGCTTTTGTCATAATACATGGCAATGGTGTGAACAATTAATGTTATCTTATGAGCAAGACTTCGTGTTGTAACGAGTCCCGCTAATTTTATTTTGAAACGTGTCAATATTAGATTGTGTGTGTAGTGTATGTGAAACTGAGTGAATTATCAGTCTTCTAATTTTATTGGGTTATCGGTATCAACATCCATAATGCCGTGAGTGACCTTTACAGTCGCGGAATATTCTGACATGATGTTAATTTACGGGGCACTCTATCAAAACGCATATTTAGCTTTACGGACAAACCGAGGTATGGAATCAATCGTGTATGTCTTACAGACTGCCGAATTTTTGTAAGGGCCAAACCAACCAACTTTTTCAAGGAGTGACACGTATTACCAGGTCCGAAGCTAGTCGAGCATTCCCGAAATAAACACGTGAATAAAATCGTGTTTTTATTAAACTGATTTTAAAAGGTAAGTGATTAGTAGGTCATAAGAATGTAAAGTTCGGCAGCGGCGTCACTTTGATGTCGCCGACATTGCGACGCTGCGGTAGATAGTTCAAGGAATCATGTTAACAATGGTGTTCTAATCCGACATTATTATATTGTATTTATGATGTTCTGAATTTGCATTTCTGTATTTTCGTACTATTTTTTTTATTTTGTTTTTAACCGACGTATATTGGACCGTTTTATCTATTATTTCATTTTTGGTGATAAGCTTTAAAACAGATTCTATATCGTTCAGATGACAGATATCTTGCAGCACAACTGATCATAGAGGCAGATGGATAGTCGATCTCTTTTTTTATGGTATACGGTATCAAAAGGAGCAGACGGGTTCGCCGCCCACATGCAACTCAAGTGACAGGTGAGTTGCCGCCTTTTGGCGTCCTTCCCCTCTCCCTCCAAAACGGGGTGGGACTCGTTGGGAACGAAAGCAATGCTTACAACCGGTTTAATGTTAGGCTTAAACTCCCGTCGAGCCGGTGACTCTTAGAATAGAATAGAGTAGAATATTATTTATTGTGCACCAATTACAATATGTCAGATAATATTGCAGGCAGTATTGACTGCTCCATTTACACACCCGCGCCAAATCCAAGTTCATAACAGAGAAACCTTCAGACAAATTGTTTAATGGAGCTTGCGTATAAATTTTAAGATCATCTGCGTAAAGGTGGTGGGATGCATGATGAAAAGCATAGGAAATAAAACACCACCCTGTGGTACTCCAGCAGTCGTATTACACCATGAGGAAAAGGATTCCTCAACGAGCACACGCTGCCTCCGACCTAACAGGTAACTATGAAACCAATCATTTACCATTGGAGATATGTTAATAGTGTGTAAAAGGCCTAGCAAGGTGTCGAAGTCTACGGTGTTAAAAGCATTGCTGAAATCCCCAGCCAGCCTCCATACCCAGCCTGATGTCATCAGGAACATTGATCAGCGGGCTTACCGTGGTGTGGCCAGTACGGAAGCCCGATTGATAGCGATTTAAAAGCTGGTTTTCCATTAGGTAAGAAGTTAGTTGAGTGTGGACCAGGACTTTTGACAGAAAGGACAATACGGAAATTGATAGTCAGAGAAGGATGAAGGATTGGGTTTCTTAGGCAGAGGAATAATCTGTCTCTCTTTCCAGGTATCGGGAAATACACTATTAGTGAGGGAGTGATTTAAAATGTGGCAAAAGATGGAACGGATTTCATCAAAAATAGGTTGAATCATATTACGAATTCTCAGCAACGACTCTTCAGCATCTACTAGTAAAAGACTTCAATTCAAGCCCATATCATTATTTTCGACGCTTCAGATTGGGTTAGTTAACCATGGTCTACTGATGTAGTCTAGTGGAACTGCTTTTGAATTCACGAAAATGAATATACAACATTTTGTTAAAAGAAAACACTTACAACTTCATGTGCAGCTATATCGTGGGTCTCGTCAGGTCTCAAGCCCTGATGCTGAACAGCAGCCACGAAGTTATCTGGAAGAATCTCCTCCTGCTGACCATCTTCAGTGCAGTTGATCACTACTATGTCCTGAAAGAAATATAAACTAATCTATATTAATTTATTTACACATCATGCACATGGCACCAAGCATTGCCGGACTTAATGCCTAAGGCATTCTCTACCGGTCAAACTCTGTAATAATCTTTTTATTTCCATGTGTAAAGGTAAGGTTTTAAAGTAGGCATATTTTCTCTGTATCTATTTAAAACTTTCTTTTTTTCTTTTCTTTTTAAAAAAGACAACCCCCGCACTAGGATTAAATCCTGTATCGCGGGGGACTTTACAAACATACATGAAATGGGCACAAAGGACACCCAGACTCAGAACAACAATTTGTGGATCACACAAAGTGTCGTCCCATGTGGAGATCGGACCCACAACACTCAGCGTAGTAGGAAGCGGGGTGGCGACCGCTTAAACCACTACGCCACCCGTGCAGTCATGTCGCTATCGCAGCGTTAGGTGACATCTACAAGAAGCAACCACAAACTTCAGTATCATCTAATTAAGACCAGAGAGAGATGAGAGATGCTGTATCGCGCAATCAAAGTTCTATTAATATACGTAGGTGAAATTTCTAGATACCTATGTTGTTTTAAACTATTTTGTCAGAATACTATTTTTCGAAACAAGTTGAGCGTCCCCGCAATACACATACAGTATGTAATAATACCTATACCAACCCTCCGGCCAGCGTGGTATATTAAGCCAAAACCTCCTTTCTAACCAACCAACAGTGAACTATTAAAGGTTATTAATAATATATATTTTTTAACACATTTCACACACGGCCGTCTGATCCCAAACTAGGCAGAGCCAGATGGTAACCAGACCGCTGATAACACATACTTATATATTTCTAAAAACATACATATTAAAGATAAAGTAGGCCCAGACACAGAAAGAATGACCATAATCATCACACAATAATGTGTCCTAGGTGGGAATCGAACCCAAGACCTCTGGCGTAGCAGTCAGGGTCAATAACCACTAGACCAGACCAGACCGCTGATAACATACTTATATATTTCTAAAAACATACATATTATAGATAAAGTACGCCCAGACACAGAAAAAATTAACAAGCTCATCACACAATTATGTGTCCTGGATGGGAATCAAACCCACGACCTCTGGCGTAGCAGTCAGGGTCACTACCCACTAGACCAGACCACTAATAACATACATATATATTTCTAAAAACAGACACAGAAAAACTGACCGTGCTCATCACACATTTATGTGTCCTGGGAGGGAATCGAACCCACGACGTAGCAGTCAGGGTCACTAACCACTAGACCAACAGGCCAGCCTTGATGTGGTGATGTAATATAATAATAAAAAGTTAAAATAATTTGGATTTTCTTACATTATATGATGTTACCTGTTGCAGTGTGCTACCTTCATTCGTCTTCTTCAACTTTCTTGATATTCTCTTCTTGTGTGGGAGGCTCTTTCTGCTTTGTTGTTTGTTCTGCATAGGGGAAGTACACTCGTTCAATTCTAACACCGAGTCGTTGGGCCCTTCCACCATTGGGGTATTATCCTGTGAACATAGTATGACATTCATTAGAAATATCAAAAGAAACGCGTGAGATTTACGTAAGTATTTCACACTTAATAAGAGTCTAAGGGAATTCATTTTATTTATTTTTTAAAAACCACCATCCATGGACATCTGCAACTCAAGATTCACATGGGTGCAACCCCTTGAATCCCTACCCTTGAATGATATAAACATCAAAGCAACGACATACTTTAAGCTGAGTCTTAGTCTTGCTGTTGAACCAGTCTTCTTGACATCTCTTCATCTGTTGCAGCGGCGGCAACGGAGGTAATGAGGGCACCTCCACCACTATGGGCTCTTGTGAGTGATCCTGTGAACATTACGACAAGCAAGCTATCAGAAAAAAAATAGAAGAAGGGTTACAGAAGATTTAGAACAGGGATTCCCAAAGTGGTCCAGGTTTCAGAGGGGTCAACATAATCAAAAACTGATTTTAGGGGTCGACGAGGTCTAAAAATCAATATGAAACTTTCAAGGTACTGTATTAGTTGTAATACGTATAGCAAATTGTTGAAAGAATAAATAATATTTTATAGTACTTTAAAAAAACTCAACAATCCTATAAACGTGCAGTAATTAGGCCCGTATTTTAAAAGGTGTCATTTTAAAGTCAGTCTTCTGTCTAGTCTTAAAACTAATTTTAAGTAGAGATTTTGTTATTGAACGTCACTTAAAACGAGATTCACCGATCCATACTTAAGTGAGTGTGGATCGATGCTTATGTGAAAATCTTTACTCAGGTATAGATTTTAACAGCTGCGATCTTAGTTTACGTGAGACAAGCTGAAATTACGAAATATTAACATATATTACTTCATCATCAACAGCCTATACTAGTCCACTGCTGGACATAGGCCTCTCCTTAGAAAGGAGGTTTTGGCCTACTATACCACGCTGGCCAGACGGGTTGAAAATTACTTGCCATAATATAATCAATTAACTTCAATTTATATTAAATTCACATTTTACACCAATTAAAATTACCACAACCTTTCAGTATATGTTAATATTATTCTAGTAATATAATTTTTAGAAATTTAAAAATAAAAACATTGTTTGACATTTCAACATGACAATTAGACAAGTGTTGATAACTTGAACGTTCCGTCATTGCCTATATCTAGTCATTTGTATTTTAATATTTTTTATATTTAATTTTGGACGAACAACAAGCTTGTTAATATGTTTACATTACTACACTAGCCAATAGTATACTATTTACAAAAGAAAAATATTTTTTTAGTAATCAGCTGCGTAATACGGAATTATAATGTCAATCATGCGGAAACGTAATTGAGAACAAACGTTAGTTCAAATCGATACTTGAAACTGGTTTCAACTAAGTAAAACTTAAAACGATACTTAAGTTTAATACTTAATTTAATTACTTAATAAGATCGATACTTAAGTTTTGATCGGCACTTAAAACTAGTTTCAGGCAATCAGAGTTAAACCGATACTTGAGACGATTTTTTTTTTAATACGGGTCTTAGAATATCAGGATTTTTTGATGGTATAAAGGGGCAAACGAGAAGACGCATCACCTGATGGTAAGTAACTACCGCCGCCCATGGACACCTGCAACTCAAGAGTCACAAGTGCGTTGCTGCCCTTTATGGTAAACTTTAATAATAAAAAAATGTAACAGATAAAGTGCAAAATTTTTCATGCGTAATACAGAATTACGGAAAAGCTAAGGGTGACCCAGTTTACACATTGACACTTCAAGGTATGCTGAACATCGATATAAAACCAAAAACATTTCATAAATAATCGGTTGGAAACAATAGACCGTTAGTGTTTACCATAGGCGGTCTTATCGTAGGCTGCGATCTTATACAGACAACCGGTTTTCAGTATTGTTAAAATAGTAAACCCTGGTTTACGCAGATAATATTATGAGACGAATTCAGTAAATTCACACTTTGTTTTAATAAGCTCAAAAACAATTGTGAGAGCCTAACTGATATTAGACAAATATTTTAATATGACTAATAATTCCAAGCATTCAGGCAAAAATACACTCGGCATTTAGAGGCGCCTTTATCCATAGTTAGTATTCTGGGATATTACTATTTAAATTTAAAGTCAGCATAGGCAAAGAACACATAATAGTACAAAAATCTCACTCAGCAAAATCATTTAAGTAAATAGCGACTCTTAACATGATAAAATAAAGTGCAATTCAGGTTGCACAGTGCTTAAAACCTACAGTCATTTACATCTAGAAATTGCATATATTTGTATCACGTAATCCTTATCGCTTCTGGCAACATTTGTGTACATTTTTTTTGCCTTTCGATTTCCTATGTGAGTGTGAAAAGCGTGAGTTTTGGAACAATGTGAGTGCAGATAAGGATGTCTTAGGCATTTTAGTTTCAGTTAAGTATCTATCAGACGACGTGACGATAGTATTAAAAAGATAAATCAATCACACTTTCTGCAGTTTACTGCTTCTCGCCGACAAGTCAAAGCCGCCATTTACATGTAGCTTTGTACCTTTTTTTTTATGTCAGAGGGTGCAGACGAGCAGACGGGTCACCTAATGGAAAGTGACCATCGCCGCCCATGAACGTCTGCAACTCGGGAGTCACAAACGCGTTGCCGGCCTTTTAGGAAGGCGTACGCTCTTTCCTAAACTGCAGAGTGAACCCTGCCTAACATAACATAGAAGTAACATAACTAAGAATAATACTTACCAAAGGTTGCCCACTGAAGAGTCTCATGGAGTTATCAAGAATAACTGACGTGTCCACATCAGACCTGACTGCGTGTACCTAATAAAGGAAGGAAACTCGGTCTATGAATCGGTCTATCAGTTTTATATCAGTTTAATAGACTGTCCTCTATCTTCTTATTTTACAGTAATCTGGTGCCCAATGCCAGTCATTTAAAAGACTAAAAGTATGAGTGTCTTTGCACCTTGTGATGTGGTTGTTGTAGCTGCGCCCTGGTCTGTTGCGTGATGTGTGCCATGAGGGCTGCCAGCCGGCAGTCAGGATCCAACAGCTCTTCACCCCATTGTCCTTCAGCCACCTGATCACCCACAGACACTTGTCTGATGGGAATAAAGAAAACTTTGAGCAGTCATCGTCACGGTTTTTTAAACTTTGTTCTTATACGGCGTTTCATTAATTTTTTTCATACATACCATGTATATGCACATACATTATCGAGGATTATCTGAATAGATTGACAAGTAAACTACAATATTAAATGTGAGTCTGTAAGTAAAGACTCCTATCTATCTAATAGGCAAACTTTACAGATTTAAAAATACTTTTGTATAGTGCAGTTCATAACTACAAAATTTAATTTCCTGACACTTATTTTTCTGTGATATAAAACAAGGCAGTTTTTCGATTTTTTCCTTTAGTTGTGGTGGACCTTGCTTCTTCAAATTTCAGTTTTAGATCAATGAGAAGTAACCTATAGGATTTCAATTTACCTGTCAAATAGGTTAAAATATATTAAATACCCATATCTTTTGATTCTGTTGACCGAGTTACATTGTTTTTTTTTACAGCTGGGACTGTAGATGTACTGTACCATGCTCGGGTTAATTTGGATTTGATACCTACGTGCATTTCTTGGAAAAAGGGTCTAGAAATGCAGTAGGTCTAGAAATGCAAAGCCACTCACCTGCATAATGATGTTGAATAAGTCTGTGAATGCATGATAGCCACTCTGCCCCCATCATCTTGAACATTGAGCGCCAAAGAGTTTGCATCCACATGTACTGCCTGTAAGAATACATTTCAAAGACATTTTAATTAACTATGATGACAACAATCAAATTATACATGACTTGTAAAGGATGATGTATGGTGTTATGAGCTTCGTTGGCGATTCTCCAACGCTAGCGGTGTTGGTGGTGGACTGTTGTTAAACAACGCTATAATAAGGGTGGGTGTTGGTGGGGTTGGGCTCCGAAAACCTCACTCACTCGGTGAAATGCAACATGGAATTGCTTGACGACCGGTTTTTTGTGAGGCTGTGGTACTGCACCAGTCGATCCGGCCTATTTTTGACGTGGCTGGCTCTCCCGCGGTAAGGTTTTGGCCTACTATACAACGCTCTCCATACAGGTTGGTATAGGGTTTGTTCTTTCTCTTTACAGTGCTGTTTACGACGCCCATGGGATGAGTAAGGGTGGTGATACTTTGTATTCTTGATCCGTCACAACACGGAATAAAATGTCAGTAGCAAGTAAGGAAGTTGGTAATACTGCAGTGTAAGAATGTGGTAGTAAACACATATTTATATGACATTTGTATGGTTACACTGAAATTGACTATAGTGGCAAAATTTTAGTTCAGTATGTGTTACCATAATTCTTAAGTGATTTAGTGTTTAGTGATTTATGTTTTAAATGCAAATTTTTACTTCAGTTAGTGCAGCTGCAGGTAATTAATATAGTTGTTTATGGATTAGGACTAAACAGTTGTGGACCACCACTGATTAATGAGAGTGATTAGTAATCAGTGAAGTAGATTGATTAGGAGCATGTTCTATTTAGTGGTTAGTGACCCTGACTGCTAAGCGGGAGGTTTAGGGAGGGTTTGATTTCCATTCAGGGCAACTAATTGTGTAATGAGCACGATGACTGTTCTGTGTCTGGGTGTAATTTATCTATAATATGTAGAATTTAGAAATATATAAGTATGTTTATCAGTCAACAGGTTACCATAGTACAGGCTCTGCCTAGTTTGGAATCTATTAAGGTTAGGTTAGTTTGGAATCTATAAGCTATTAATGGCTGTTGATGTTGCCTGGACCTTCACATGAGTTAATGTTATTTGAGTGAGTGAGTGAATGAGTTAATTTAATCAATTTTAAAAAGTAGCCATGTTCTATTTCAGAGGTATACATTTATATAAGGAGTGGGGAGCGGCGTGGCGACCGCTTAAACTACTACGCCATTCGTGTAGTCAATTACAATTAGCAAATGTGTGAGCAAAGAAATAGTTATTTACAATTCAAACACATGTTATAATAATTCAATTATATTATTATCAATTTAATATCTTGTAAGTTATCCCATTATTCTACGCTATTATTTATTTATAGCCCTAGGAGCTCTATAACAGGGTTAAGTGTATTGGATGTTGTAAAGAAAACGAATACTTCAATATCATTCAAGTTAGAAACAGAATATGGGCAGACTAAGTCAGTAGATTCATTATTCAAGAAGTTCTATTAACTCTGTAATACAATGTTTTAGATAATATTGAGATCTTTTAATTTTATAATATTTTAACAGTCTTAATTTAATTAATTACAGTCCTGTCTGTAGCTCCTAACTAAATGCGTCTATTAAGAGGTTGTAGAGTGGAATAGACTAAAATGGAATAGAATTTAAATTTAAAATGTATTACAAAATAAGCATCTACAGAACATTATGCCTAACATATGCATGCCTATAATTCATTAAAATAGATAGAAGTAGTAGTATTATATGTGATAAAAACTACAAGCTATGATTATCATTAGAAGTACCATTCATACACTGTGAATATTAAAACTCATTCCATACAAAGGCCTAAAATGACGCCATTTACTGTAGAAATATTGCACTTTGCCGAATTATTTTATTCTGTAGAAATAAATTACGGTGGAAAATAATTATCACATTTTCTTAATAACTTATTATTATTTCAATCACATGAAAAGTAAATGCAAAATGTACAAATAACGTCGAACAAACACTGACGAACTATTATCCACCTACAATTATTAATATTTATTGAACTTACCTCGCCTGTTTGATGAGAATTGATATAATGTGTAACCGCTTCCTCCATTTCTCTTTTTAAATATTAATTTTCAAGTTAACTTTAAAAATATTTCACAAAAGGACTTGTTTTCATCTTTTGTAAAATTGGTTAGGTTATTTGACAGCTGTATTGCTTAATGATCAAGGTCATTAAATTTAATATTGAGCTGTGTCTTAGTTCACATGTTTTGCTTAGAAATACTGAAAAAACAGGATTTTATTTGTGCCTAAAATAAACAGTACAATTATAGGCCATTTATTATAATTTTGTACTCTACAAAAGAAGCCCTAGTCGAACACAAAACCTATGAAACTAAGCTTTGTATTAGAGTTGTGTAGCTCCTGAGTGAGTGATATAAAAGATATATATCACTCACGACGATAAAATGTATCACTCACTCACACTAGCTCCGAATATATCAGTAACTCACTACTAGCTCACTAGATCACTAGCTCAACACGCCGATCTTTGTTTCATGAGCGAGTGAGACTAAAGATAAATGAGTGAGATAGATGATGGTTGAGTTCACGCAGGTTTCTTTATGCAAAATGTACATTATTTCTATAGGATCAAAGTTTAATATTACTTAAGAATTAAGCCAAGTACAAGGAAAATCAAATTATGTTTGATTTCTATTATACAACCTAAAAAGTACAAAAAGTACCTGTAAAAGTACAAGAAATAATTTCTTATTTTTAATTATTATGTAAAAGGATGTTAATAATTATGTAATCTTATCAAAATGAATAAAATTGTATTTAAAAAAAATTGGTTAAATAAAAATGTAGTTTCAAAAAATGAATTTAGGTTAATATGAAAATAAAGAAAGGTTTGTATGGCGAGAGAGGCTTAAAGTGAGTGATATACGAGTATACTGAGCTAAAAGATCTAGATGAAGAAATGAATTAATTGCGAGACCAATCAATTGAATCTGATCAATGAGCTAGTGAGCTAAACGAGTTAGTGAGCTAAATGAGCTAGTGAGCTAATCGAGTTAGTGAGCTAAATGAGCTAGTGAGCTAGATGAGTGATATATATCTTTTGAGCGAAATGATAAATATCAATCTTTTCAGCTCAGTGATACATTTTGCGCATCACTACTTTGTATTATGTATTGTTCAGATTGGTCGAGGTTGCTGTTGGAGTTAGTGGGTTCTTAGGCGTGCCATGATTGGACCCAAGATTTGTCCATAGTCAATATGAAAGACGTCAAACGTCACGGTGACATAGATTAAAAATATTGTGAATGATGTATTCACAGACTAATTTCTCAGATCAAATGAGACTAACCAATTAAAATAATTTGAGGAAATTCTTCTTGTTCTCATCAGAGCGAAACATGTAATGTAGAATAAGTAGTTACTAAGTAACTCAGCTCGCATGTATTTGTAAAAAAAACAAGAATTATTGTGTCTCTGCTTGATGAATCCATTAAAATAAATCAATTATTGTAAATGCGCAAAGAAATTGATGACTTCTAGTCAAAAATCACAAGGTTCTCAATTTAAGTCTAATAAAAAATCAATCATACCTCGTTAATCAATCAATAATATTGTACTTTTTTGTGCAGTGTTAAAAAAAATATTTACAGATGGAAAGAACTCTATATAAAAGATTGAAAGAATGTTAGTATCGATTGTTTTTTTCATTTTGTTCAGTCTCTTAATTTATTATAGGACAGTTTATATATAGGCCAAAGAAAACGAAAAAATAAACTTACTACTTACTTTAGATTTGCTTGAAAGTCTAGGGATAAGCAAATTTTCAAAAGGATTGATACCAGTATCGTGTCAAAGTATCGTTTCCAAAAAATATAGGAACAAAAGTATCGATTCCTGAAGATAGCGAGTATCCCTACCCAAGTCACTGTGTGACAGTAACTGTCAAAAACCATCACAATTTTCGTCTTTTTTGTCAAATTTGAGTTGTTTTGATGTGGTTTTATGTCAGGCTGAAGAGTTTTTTAATATCCAGAATTCTTTTGAATTGATGTAAAAATACCTCTTCATAAATCAAGAATTCCTGATATTTAAAAAATATACTCTGTAATACAATGTTTCGGAGTACAGTGAGATCTTATATTGTTTGTAGAGGTCATGACGTAAGTTTAATAAATTAATTGTAATATATATAATTTTCTAACTTAATTTTATTTAATTTTTAATTTATTTTTATTTTTGTACTAGATACTAGAATTTCCTCCCTTATTATTAATGTTATAACTAAAATAATTCTAATATTAATCCTAATCTAAATGAAGTAACGGACTGATTTAACTAAATTTAATGTATTATAAGATACTACAGTTTGGTAATATACAATACAGTATATGTATATTAAACAAGATTTTATTTTGTACTCAATTCTATGGGTTTATCTTGTTTACTTAAGAAGTTCCTATGGCTGTCTGCTGGCTCCATCATTAGATGAGCTCTATGGTACATATTTATACGAAATTTGAGCCCAATCGGACCTAGGGAAGTTCTAATTTAGCTTCTACGATTCGTGCCGTACAAAGAATTCTTCAAGAAGGCTGGCTATGCGTTTGTGACTCCTGAGTTGCAGACGTTCATGGGCGGCGATAGTCACTTACCATCAGGTGACCCGTCTGCCCGTCTCCTCTAACTTAAACAAAAAAAAATTAGATTTAAATTTTTCAATTTTAGTGTAAGCACATCATGAAGATTCTTTACTTAGCTGTAGAATTATATAGTAGAATTATATTTGTTAAAACACACTGTCTTAAATTCACAGCCATTCAACATCCAATAAAAATTAAAAAAACATTTTACATAACGTACATTTATTTGACTAATGTTACAGTTTCAACGAAGTAAACACACAAGTAAACTCGACACGATAAGGGAAAAATTGCGAGAGGGTCCCAGTTTAGCAGATTTTGTCTCCGATGATCGACCAAAGAATTGGGATGAATATGAGGGTAAACTAAAGCGCGAGAAGGGTGAAGCTCAGAGGTTGAGGCTGCCACCCTGGCTGAAGACTTCTATACCCACAGGTGACCCTTAGTGACGCTGACTTTTGAACCAGAGGTTGTTAGGATGAAACTGAGTTGCCACTCTTAAGAGTCCTCCTTTTCTTGACAACTTGACACAAACCCTATACCAACCCGTGTGGCCAGCGTGGTATAGTAGGCCAAAACCTCCTTTCTAAGGAGAGGCCTATGTCCAGCAGTGGACTATTAAATGCTGTTGATATGCACACAATGCAAAACAACATCAGAATTCCTTAACACCAGTTTTCAGTTGCTGATTACAAAGGAATGGCACTTAATAAAATTGGAGTTGTATTAATTGATAAATGTGTGTAAATTACAATAGAATACAAGAAATTATTTGTTTAAAACAAAATCTGAGTGTGTTTATTGATAAGCATAAATCTTTATCAGCAGTATTTATGTCAATACAGAAGATATCAATAATAAGTAATTATATTGAATGGCCTCTACTAGTAATGTATTCTTTATCTGTTTTAAGGGTCAAAATTCAGTGAACTAAAACAGCAGCTGAGAGGTTTGAAACTCAGCACAGTGTGTGAGGAAGCAAGATGTCCTAACATTGGTGAGTGTTGGAGTGGAGGCAAGCATGGCACTTCAACTGCTACCATAATGGTAGGTTTATTAATCATATTGTTATGATATAATAGAAATAATATTCTACCACATTCACACAACACCATGTAGTCTCAAACTAAACAGAGCTTGTACTATGGGTACTAGGCAACTGAAATAAATACACATGTACTTTTTTTTTGTAAATACCAGACCAAATCAGAAATTAAATGTTCATGAACTCAAATGTTTGACGTGAGCGATCTTTGGAATAGCAGTACTACACAAACCACGATGACATCCGGTCGTCGATTTAGAAGCAAACTAGCACACGGGTCACATGTTGGTAATGAAATGGTGAATTAGAGTCCATCTCAAGACACAATGTGCTATTGGCGTACCTTACCTTACCGTACCTTATTCAGTGAGTAAAAAAGTAACGAAAAACACTAGTTTTCTGTGAGGCTGTGGTATCACTCAGGTTGATCTGCCCCAATACCACCTACCAGTATGGTTGCCACGACAACGGTGGAGAAGGCGTGCGGGTGCGGCAAAAACCGCACGCGGCGTGCGGGTTTTCGTCGATCCTTCTCTAGGTGCCAGTAGCCAGGGAACCAGGCCCTACCCTATAACCCTAGAAAACAAAGCCCTGGTACCCCAACGTAAGGTGACTCCTACACTTAAAAATTTGTAAGACATGTCTGTCCTTTGATTGAAAATACCAGTAGAATAGGTACGTCAACTGGCTTATCTCCAGCTTTGAAAAGACTTGTATCTAGGATACTGAACACCTTGTCCTTACTGATCTTTCATGTTTATATTTTAAAAGGTAATGTAAGAGTGTTCTTAATTTACAGCTAATGGGCGACACTTGCACTCGAGGCTGTATGTTCTGCTCCGTGAAGACATCCCGCCGACCTCCCCCGCTCGACCCTGATGAGCCGAAGAACACTGCATATGCTATCAATCAGTGGGGGCTTGGATATATTGTATTAACATCTGTGGACAGAGATGGTGAGTATAACTATCAAGGAAACTAGAAACAGCAATGCATCTTGCATTGTTGTTTCTAGTTTCCTTGATAGGGTCTACACAGCAACTTGAAACAGCCCAGACATGGTTATTTAATCTCACACAAGACATAATCTGTACTATGGTAACCAGATTGCTGATAAAAATATTTTAAAATACTTACATATTATTGTTAATTTACACCCAGAACAAATAATCATCAAAATTTGTCTAACCTGTTTGTCTATGTGATGATATGATTGGTCTATGTGATGATGTGATGAGCATGATCATTTGTTTGGCTCCGCCCGCGTAAATGCTGACATCTTTGTAAAAAGCCTATGTCTTTCCTCAAGAATCTAAATATCTTCGAACCAAATTTTATTATACCCTTTTCACTCCTTTAAAGGGTGATTTCTGGGATAAAAACTACCCTATGTACGGACTGGGAAAGGGTCCCGGGACTCGGACGATCTCTATACCAAATTTCATCTAAATAGATTCAGCGATTTAGGCGTGAAGTGGTAACAGACAGACAGACAAAAATACACCAACAGACATACTTTCGCATGTATAATATTAGGTATAGAGTATATATGTATGTATTTAAAAATATATAAAAGTGTCTATCAACATTCCTGTTACCATAGTACAGGTTCTGCCTAGTTAGGGATGGATGGATGGGGGCATGTGTGAAGTTAAAAGTAAAATATCTGGTCTGGGTGAGAATCTGTACATACCTTCGGTCTCAAAAGTTAATATCGCAAACATCTGGAGGTCAGGCTATATAATATATACCTATAAAAAACAATAGAGTCTAAAACTTGCTCATCATATAAAAACTTTGGTCTTTGGACGACGCCACTTTAAAAGACACCTTTGAATTGCAGATCTACCTGATGGAGGCTCGTCTCATTTTGCAGAAACTGTTAGAGAAATTAAAAAACAGTAAGTATAATTAATTTTACCAAAAAAGTTTTAGAGCCCATGACAACATGACTATGTAATAGTCATCACAAAAACAACAGCAGTATTGTGATAAGTGACTAAAACTTACTAAAACTAAAGTTTTTTTTTCTTTTATAAGAGACACTAGGAATAAATCCTGTGTCGCGGGGGACTTTACAAACATACATGAAACGGGCACAAAGAACACCCAGACTCAGAACAACAATTTGTCGATCACACAAAGTGATGTCCCATGTGGGGATCAAACCCACAACACTTAGCGCTGTAGGAAGCGGTGAGGTGACCGCTTAAACCCTACGCCATCAACTGTGACTAAGACTTATTACGAATAGATTTATATTGCAGTAGCCCTTATGCACTATGCTGCTTTAAGGAATAAACACTATTGTGTTTACCATTCGGAAGCAGAGTTAGTCAAGATTGTTTTTAGTCAAGAGTGTTTGTTTGATTGTTTTTTACTAAAATTGTTTTGTAAATATATATGTACATACACTTATACCTGTACCATGAAAAGAGTAGACAGGGATGTATGGAACGCACACATTTCGCCTGTAATAAAATTTAATCACTTACCTAATCGAGGGCAAAAAAACTTATTACCGTCCACCGCGCATTTTGGAAGTTAAATAGGGAGTTGTATTTATAAAGCGAAATTGAGGCAAAATATATAAATTGAGGGTTGTACACTACTCGTAACTCTTAACTGAAAAATATCGAAAAGTCCAAACTGAAAAAATATTTTGTAGTCAATGTCATTATTTGTAGTCAATGTCATTATTTGTAGTCATTGTCATGTAGTCAATGTCATTATTTGTAGTCATTGTCATTATTTGTAGTCAATGTCATTATTTGTAGTCAAGGTCATTATTTGTAGTCAATGTCATTATTTGTAGTCAATGTCATTATTTGTAGTCAATGTCATTATTTGTAGTCAATGTCATTATTTGTAGTCATTGTCATTATTTGTAGTCAATGTCATTATTTGTAGTCAAGGTCATTATTTGTAGTCATTGTCATTATTTGTAGTCAATGTCATTATTTGTAGTCAATGTCATTATTTATAGTCAGTTTCATTATTTATGGTCATTGAGTTTCTTATTATGTCAGCAATTCTTTATATTTTAAAATGAACTATACATAATTTTCTCTTGCTCTTATAGAAACAAAGAAATTCTAGTCGAATGTCTGGTTCCCGATTTCCGTGGCAACCGTGACAGTATAAAGGAAATAGCCAACTGTGGGCTGGACGTGTACGCACATAACATCGAGACTGTTGAACGACTCACGCCATTTGTACGGGACCCGAGGGCCACGTGAGTGGGAATTTTAAACAACATTTTCATAAGTACACTTTCTTATATATTTTTATTAGATCAGGAGAATTATAGAGATCAAGAAAAAGCAAAAGGCCAAATCCTTATTTCTAAGGAGAGGCCTATGTCCAGCAGTGGACTATTAAAGGCCGTTGATGATGGTCTTGATAGAAATTAAACATTGCAATGTTTATCCATACTAATATTATAAACCCGAAAGTGTGTCTATCTGTCTGTCTATTACCTCTTAACGCTTAAACCGCTAAACCGATTTAGATGAAATTTGTTATAGAGATAGTTTGAGTCCCGGGAAAGGACATAGGGTAGTTTTTAACCCAGAAATCATCCTTTAAGGGGGTGAAAATTTGTATGGGATATCAATAACCTCGTTACCGATTTAGATAAAATTTGGTATAAAAATAGTTTGATTCTTAAGGAAGGACATAGGCGGGCGAAGCCGCAGGCAAAAGCTAGTAATCGAAGTCTCTAATTACAGATGATTTAATTCATTATTCATAGGCGGGCGAAGCCGCAGGCAAAAGCTAGTAATCGAAGTCTCTAATTACAGATGATTTAATTCATTATTTAATAAAGTGATGATTATTTTAATTTTTGGCTTGGGCCTTTTCATAATGCAATCACATCACACACATCACATCAACAGCCTTTACTAGTCCACTGCTGGACATAGGTCTTTCCTTAGAAAGGAGGTTTTGGCCTACTATACCACGCTGGCCAGACAGGTCGGTATAGGATTTGTGTCAAGTTTTCCATCTTTTTGTAGTGCTGGTGTCCTGCGTTGTTTTGCGCCCTTAGTCATAATGCAATGCAATTTATAAATGAGCGTGACCACCCCTATTCATCCCGTGGGTGACCTAAGAGCCGACTAAGGGCAAGTTTTACAGGACCACAGTGGACTATTAAAGGCACAAGGATGATGACACATTTTATAATTAAAACTGCTTTAAATTTACGCTGAGTTATACTCTGAGATTAAATATTTAAACCTAGATATAGTCTTAGAAGTGTGGTGTAGTAATCAATAATATTTACAATGTATGGTTCTATTTACATAATGCATTTATATTTGTTGGCTGACCAAATTACAATTTTTTTCATTTAATTTATTCACCTTACCTACAAATTAAAACGATTCAAATGGTTCCGTGGTGCAGTGGTTGCGGATGCGACTGCTGTACTAAGGTCTCGGGTCCGTATATGTATATATTTCCAAAAAAAAAAGTATTATATCAGTCAATCTAGGTTTCACAGTACAAGCTCTGCTTAGTTTGAAACTAGATGGCGTTGGTGTCAAGTGATTATTTAGAATATGTTTTACTTTTATGTGATCTAGGTATAGACAAACACTGAAAGTACTGCAGACTGCCAAAGAGATGAATCCAGACGTGATCACCAAATCCTCGATCATGTTAGGGCTTGGAGAAACTGATGAACAAGTGGATCAAACTATGAAAGGTGAGTTATCCATGACCATGATCCATAGTGAGTAGCCATGAGTTTGTTTGCCCTTTCTTCTCATAAGGCTCAACCCCTTGGAAACGGGCGGTTATAGATCAGCACACGCATATCATGTATTTTGTATGGGTTTGATTTTTGTTAAATTTATTTGCTTACTATTTGATAAAACAGAGATTGTTGCTTTTGTGTGTGTTGATCTATGACCTTAGAGTCTACATAAAAGACGATTTCAAACAATTTAAAAAAAAATGAAATTAAGAGAGTTTGAGTTATCTTTCTGTGTCTCTATCTGTCTACCTACCACATTCACTGAGCTTAATTCCTGGAAAAAACCTGGAAAAGGTTCCAGTTCAGAGCGTTGTAAGGTTGTCCTTACGACGTTCTGAACAGACTGGCACCTTTTAGATTGTTCTAAACATATTATATACATACAAAATAAAATATTTTATCCACAGACTTACGTGATGCAGGTGTGGACTGTGTGACCCTCGGCCAGTACATGCAACCCACGAAACGTCACCTCAAAGTCTTTGAATACGTCACTCCTGCCAAGTTCAAGCAGTGGGAGGACCGGGGTAATGAGTTGGGATTCCTCTACACAGCCAGTGGCCCTCTGGTGCGGTCCTCTTATAGAGCTGGAGAGTTCTTCATAACTAGTTTGCTGAAGGAACGGAAGGCGAAAAGTTTGTGATCTGAAGATTATAATTTTTTTTCTTCTTTATCATTCTCATCACAACCCTGGGACGTGCATTGCTGAAAAATGCTATCCTCACCTCTTTCTATCGAAAACACTTTGATGGTCTGTCCATCCAGATCAATAGAATCAAGAATTAATAGTTTTTTTTTAATTTTATAAATTAGATATTTCAACTTTGGACTTTATCACCTAGATCTGAAAGTTGATTTTAGCATTTTCAACTAACGGGAGTCATTAGTATTTATTCTGTGGTACTATTATATTTTCAATATTTCTTAGAGATTATATAAAAGTACCTGAAACATATGTTTTAAATAATTGTTGTTGTCGTTTAATTTTTAACTTTTAAGCGTGTTAATTTATTTTAAACAAAATTGTAGATACTCTTGTTAAAATCTGTAAATGATTTAGTAAACTCTACCTTTTTTTATGTATATAAAGTTGATAATCCTTTAACTTCGTGTAAAAAACGATTTCAATTCAGTGCTATATGTGTAAACAATGTGTATATTCCTAGATCTGTATAAATAATGCAATTTGTAAAAAGTAGTGTCACTGTTATTGTTTTAAATATATTTTTTCATCTCTGACTTGGCTTTTTTTGATATAGGTACAAATTCCCTTAAATCAAAAAACGACGGGTTGCACTCCGGGAGTGCCGGTAGAAGTGAAAACTTGAATATTAACGTTGTGCATTTTTGATATTTTGGAATGGTTAGGGAATAATTTTGCACGAATTGCTTTAATTATCAGTATAAAAGTACTATCGTTTATGTGGTAGAATACAATATTTATTTATTGCGCTATCGTACACAAACATGTCAATTTATCGAGACGCTGTCATCATCCATGGATGCGCGTGGCACGCCGTAACATAAACACACACGAACATTCGCGCAAGCGCCTTGTGCCGCCTAAACGAAACAGCAGCATTTTCGCTGCGCCGCAGAAAGAGAGGGGGATACTTCCTCTCCTACGTTGCGCCGACTATCTACTCTCCATCCGTCTTACGAATTTTCGATCAGGTCACGTGTCCTGACGCGAGTTTAACATTTATTACCCATTACAAAAAAAGTGTACAACGCCGCTAAAGAAGTTTTCACTTAAAAAAATATTTACTGCAAGTAAGAGTTAAAAATTGACGACCGAATGGCGTAGTGGTTTGTGAAAGGTCGCGGGTTCGATTCCCGCTCAAGTCAAGTATTTGTGTGCATGAACATTTAATGTTTGATTTGGTCTAGGTGTTTCTATGTATAATAAGTATGTATTTACAAAAAAAAGAATATATGTATTTATATTAGTTGTCTAGTACCCATAGTACAAGCTACGCTTAGTTTGGGACTAGATGGCGTTGTGTGAATGTGGTACAATATTATTTAAAAAAACTATAACATTCCATGACATAGCGATATAAATCCTATGCACCTATGGTACGAACTGGGCTGGCTGGATACAGTCCGTAGTATAGGTATAAATTTACAAGTACACGCGGGACTTAGACTTGTCGGGCCAAGTTGGAATGCCATCCTTTCGTATCGAGTTTTCAAAACAGATTATTGTTATATAACAGACGGTTCCACAGGTGGATATTGTTAACTAGTAGTACTTTATAGTGACGGAATAAAAGTCGCTTTTTATTTAAATATCTTTGACGAGTTGGTCTTCAGCACCTGTACTATTATTCTGTGCTGTTAATAATAAAACTTAAACTTTAATCAATTTCAAGTTTTATACAAAACAAATCTTATTGCAAGATTGGGAATTGTTTGACAGAAGGTTTACTGCCCGGCTAGTAACTTTTTGTTTAGTTGAGAGATTTTTTAGTATAGCCGTGTAACTAGTCATGATTTCGATATAGAAAGTGACAACATTGGGAACGATTTTAGGATCCGTATATTGACGGATTAAGAATACGCTGTGTCACCACCCGTTTTTATCCCATGGGTATCGTAAGAAGAGCTAACTACGTAGGACAACAGCACTGCAAAGAGAAGGAAAGCTTGAAACTAATCCAATATCAACCCATCTGACCATCGTGGTTTAGTAGGCCAAAACTTTTGTAAGGAGAAGCTTATGTCCAGGAGTAGACTATTAAAGGCTGCTGTTGTTGTCATGTTGATAAATTTCATATGCCTCCACCAGAAAGGGATAATCTTCCAGCTGGGCGAAGTGATGCTGTCTGTCGGGCTGTGGCCCAACGATTTATAAGTTGTATTAATACTTATGGCCGCGAGAACTTTCATTACGCGATGCAGGCTTAGTAGTTCGGCGTGACTTCGTAAATGAGACAAAAGTTTTTGTTTAAAACAAAAATCTTTAGTCCCATTTCAGTTCGCACTCATTTTCCCATCCCAACCCAGTCCCAAAACGTTTACAGTGTGAGTTTTGCCCACAAAAGTAGTTTACATAGATCTTTGATTACCTGAAACCTTTTTATTTTTTTCCTGTGGAAACCCCCTCGGGCCGTCACCACACCGGGGTTTACGGCAGGGTTGTGTGTTGGAATCGGACCGACTAAAACCCAATGGTGTGCCACTCTGCGCCTGTAATAGGAGGGATCCGGAAACTGCTGTTATTACGGACATCCGGACCCCTCCTAGCGCCTGCCCGCAACGGCGCGGGCACCACCTTCGGGTACATTCTCTATTTAGGCGACGTCCGGCACACGCGGACGTAGCCTCCATGGCAGCCTGATTGCATTAAGATGTAATCAGGCCGCCATGCTGCGATTGAGGGGCTAAATGTTCTCCCCTGAGATAGGGCCTGATTAGGCATGGTGTCAATTCGGGGAGGGCCTCAAATAACATGGTTCGGATCCTCCCAGAGTAGTAGTCCCGAGGCCGGCCGTCGGGGTGGTTTTTAGTAGAATCACCATATATTCCTAGCTCCTGAGTCCCCTAGGAGCAGGAGATCTGAAGGGATTTTCCACCCCGTTAACAAAAAAAAGGTAAGTGAGCACCTAGCGTCGTGTAACGTCGATATCGTACCATCACCTTTGAGACTTCTTGGCGAGCGTGATATAGTTAGAACTGGCAATGTAAGAACACCACTACACAGTTATTTGCTGTTGTGTTGTTAGTTGACAACACGACAGTTGAGATTTCTTCACTCACACACACACACACACTTCACACTTTTTCCATGAGTTTATATTCATACATATACTCTTTATTGCACACTATGATAAGGAAACACACAGTGTATAAAAACAAACAAAAAAAAAAAACAGTGATACAATGGGCGGTCTTATCGCAGACTGCGATCTACTACAGGCAACTTTTAGATGGACTATATTAAATAGAAATATGTAGGCTGTGGTGCGCATTTATAATTAACATAGATTAAGTAACGTTCCATTACATAATTACACATACATACGAGAGAGTTAGGTAAATTCAAGTAAGTTTAAGTATGGTAAAATCTTACATTTTCTCTACGGTAAATACTTTTTCCATTTTAACAGAATCTCTTCTTTGCCTTCGCCCATTCCTGTTAAGGTCGGATTTCCCTATCATGCGGCGCCATACATTTCGCTGGTGAGCATCGTCAGTGGTCAGACCTAACTCCCTCATGTCTCTTTGGACATTTGTCATCCAGGTAGGTTGCGGTCTGCCTCTCCCTCTCCTCTGTATAGCCATGGAAAGGCACTTTTTCACAATATGGTCATCGGGTCTTCGCAATACATGTTCGTGCCACCTCAGTCTGGGCTCCACAAGTTTTGCAGTGATAGGGGCAACCCTGAAATTATCTCTTATCTGCTCGTTACGAACTTTATCCTTGAGAGTAACTCCACCCGCCCAGCACAGTATACGCATTATAACAGAATCTAATCTAAGAATATTGGTTGAATATTAAACAATAGTTGAAATAAGGGCAACTTCCAAGAACGACACATAAAAGTAATTATGGTAATTTATACGAGTATTGAGGTAGCATTATCCACAAAAGTCAACATTAGGTATTAGTGATGTATCTACCTGCAATACAACGGCGCGTACGCACGAATGAGCGCATTGGGAGCGAAAAAACCAACACCGCGCGTACTGAATACAGAAAATGTAACTAATTTAACTCGTGACTGGTATAGAAGTGGGCTTATCAGTGTACGTACCTTGGATGCGGCATTAGTCCCAGTAAAAATATAAAAAAAAAACATAATTCAGACATCCTTTTAGTTTAAGATAAAACTTGCAATCCAATTATTTTAATAATATTCTAGGAGAAAGGAAAATGCATTTTCCAGGTCTAACCTCAGTGTAGGTTTTCAATGGGCCGCTGGGAGGGGTCCAGAAGGAGATAGCTACCGGGGCCCCCCTTCCCCAAAATAGAAGCGCAAAGAGGGCACACCGTGTGGTTTTAGTCGGTTCGAGTCCGACACACCGCCCCGCCGAACGAGAGCCCCGGCGGGGTGACGGTCCGAGGGGATTTCCACACGTTAAAAAAAAAAAAAAGGTTTTCAACGGGCATCAGAACACATATGACTATATTTAAAAATGTATTTTATATTAGATTAAAATAGATATATTCAGACTTAACAAAGTATTTTTTGAGCAAGAATCAAATCCGGAAGAATCAAATCCGATGATTTGCTCTTCCTTACACCACGCCACTTCGATCGTTATTTCAGTATAATTAGTAATTACCAACATCATGTATATCTATTTGACAACAGCCTATCACGATATAATATATGTAAATTCTCATATGTACATTTTTAGATACTACTAATAACATGCAACCTAATAATGTTATTTGTTAAAATAAAAACGTTAGAGGGAAGGAAAACTTGAAACAAACCCACCCGAAACAAACTCTACCCGTCTGGCTCGGGTGGTATAGTAGGCTAAAACCTCATTTCTAAGGAGAGGCCTATGTCCAGTAGCGGACTGTCATAGGCTGTTGATGATGATTGATGTTGATGACAAACGTTAGAGCAGATTTTCTTAAAATAATACACGATCATAAAAAATACAGCCATTTTAATCTCACATCAA